TCTCTCCAGAAAGGCTTTGTCAGGCTCCAAGGCAGGCAAGCTTCCCTCCTCTACAAGATCTCTGAGAACTTAGCATTGAGCTGCTCCTTCAGCAGCCTAATGTCCTGCACGTGTGGCCCAGAGGCAGATGGACACCACCTGGAGCCGCGTGCCTTTCTCATTCCCAGCTGGGATGACAGCAGAAACTGAATTCTCTGAGCTAGGCCAACACAACCGATAGGGACACAGTTCTGCATCTTATTCTGCGTATTTTAAACGTGTGTCTAAACATATTTGTTACAGAGGAGGTGAAAATCTGTGTGCACTACTGGATTTTCACGATTGTTTTACTGGACGCGTTTTGTTGCCTAGATCTCCATCTGAGAAACCAGGTGCCCTGCAGATAGCAGTCTGAGCTCTGAGGGTAGGGCTGCCAAATAAAGTATCGGGTACCCCGGAAATGCGGAAGTTCAGATAAATACCAAGTTTTTAGTTTAAGTATGTCCCAAATATTGCATGACACGTCATCCTGTACTGCTTTAAAAAACCAAAAAACTCACACTCGTACTTCAATGCATAAAAATCCCCTAATAAAGAGACCACACCCACAAGGCCCCATGCAGGGACCCCCTGCACCCCTTCCCCCGACCCCGGCAGCACACCCATTGAATTTGGAGGAGTCCAAACCCACCAACATACCTCACCCTCAGTCCTGTTAATAAAGCAGAGTAGCCTTGGGTGCTGCCTCCTGTTTCCTTGCAGATTCGAAAAGGAAGGTGGTTCAGGGCCCTAATCAGACTCTTCCTGGCAGAATGAGGCCTTGGCACTGGCTTTACCTGCGGAAATGCTACAGTGCAGGGCGTGAGCCTGCTGTCCACTGCCCCGTCCACGGGCTGGTTCTGTTAACTCCAGAACTAGCTTCCCCTAGGTCTGCACTCCCTCCACTGCAGGCCTGAGCTCTCCTTGCCCCTGGCTCTCTTCTGCAGTGGACCTGCTCTCAGCTGCCACAGGAGGGCGCTGGAGAACGGGTCTGAACAGAGAGGCAGGTGCTGCTTTGCAGGTCCTCCCAGGCACCACCCCTACTGGAGGAAGGCTTGGGAGTCCCCTAAGACAGATCATCAGTTACTTCCCTCTGCCTGTGACCCAGGAAGACCTGCTCCCCGCACTGTGCTAGGGATCACTTCCTTGTTGAGTGGGACCTGAGTTTTAAAAGGGTCTTGTGCTCCTTTTCATCTGGCCCCTTTCCTTCCAAGGCCCCCGAGAGGAAGGCAAGGGGTGGGCCCTAGCCCTGCTTCTAGCTTTCCTGCCTCCTGGTGAGTGTGCTGCCTACAGAGAGGCTCACGGGTTTTGTTTTCTTCTTTTGCAAGGGATGCCATACTAAGGGATGCCTCATTATGTTTTGTGTTGTTCCAATTGCAGCCAGTCAGAAATCTTCCAACTTGGAAGGGAGAATGAAGTCAGTCACTGGGACAACAGGGTCATCTGCTGTAATCACTTGTGATCTTCCTGGAGAAATACCAGACACATCCACTGGTACCTCCACCAGGAGGGGAAGGCCCCACAGCGTCTTCTGTACTGTGACACCTACAACTCCAGCGTTATGTTGGATTCAGGAATCAGTCCAGGGAAGTTGGATAGCTATGCAATGATGAGGACATCGAAATTGATAGTGCAAAATATAACTGAAAATGATTCTGGGGTCTATTATTGTACCACCTGGGACAGGCACAGTGGTTCAGACCTGCCTACACCACACTGAAAACCTGCCTTGTGGCTGCTTGTGGTACACAAGATAGAGCTGCCCCCTCTCATTTTCTGCCCTCAAAATTACTGTATTCTGTACAAAGAGAAACACAGCTTCACTCCTGATCTCCCCCTAATATCACACTCCCCTGGCACAGCTGCACCTGTTCCCCACCCCTCCCCCAGGACTTTCCTGAAGACCAAGCTGCCATCTCCAGGCCTCAGCTAAGGAGCCTGCCTGAGAGCAAGGTTCTCTCTGCTCTCCTAGGACATGGGAGAGGCCCACTACTCTGCTTCCTAAGACACACAGGTACACATAGGGTCCAGCTGTGAAGCGAGATACTTTGGACAGCAAATGGGAAGGATATTTATACTCATCACTTATCCAATCATGATCCAGGGATCGCAGCTGAGACTGGTGCGTATTCCTTATGTTTATAACAATAGAAGCAGTACTGTAATTCCCACTCCATCCCTAGGCCTAGATATGCAGTTGCACATTCTCTCCCGTGCCCTTCCGTCCTCTCTCTCCTTACTGCCTTACTTGCTTTTATTATTTCTCTCCCTCCCTCCTTCCTCCTTTCCTTCCTGCCTCCTTCCCACCTGCTTCCCTTCCTTCCTTCCATCGATTCTCCTTCCTTTTTTTGCTTCTTTCCTTCCTTCCTTTTCACTTTCTTTTTTTTTGGTTGGGGGGGAATATATAATGAGAATACTTTTTCTACAAAATCATCGAAATAATTTTTCTCTATTTGTTCATGCCAACATTGATAGAGCTAGTTTAATTGTTCAGTTTCATTTTTACATTTTGGGTATTTGCTGTATTATGTTCTGTTTCATATTTGTTTTGTATATATAAAACAGTTACATGGAACTGAAGTCAAAATTATAAAAGGAGATGCAATTGAGGCTTTTAGCTTCCATTCTAGATTTCTCATTCCTCTTTTCTCCCTGACCCTATAGGTAAAAATACTTTCATCAGTTCACTTGAACTCTTTGACTTTGTCATAGTGCCGTATGTATTGTTTCTTTTTCAATGCCATATTTATATTTTCATTCTTATATTGGGTTTTTATACATTTTAAAAAGTCTTTCATTTTCCTGTGTCTGGATTTTGTGTCTTACTTCTACAGATGCACTTACTTCCTAAGTTTGCATAAAGAAGTCCATATCATTTATTTGAATGTTTTTATGCATTGATGATTTAATGATGGCATGATTGATCTATCGGGATTTTTATACAATAATTACTATACTAATAATATGAATACTGGCCAGGCCCGGTAGCTCATGCCTGGAATCCCAGGATTGGGGTAGTCCAGTCGTTAGGATCAAGTGAGGCCAGGAGATTGAGACCAGCTTAGCTAACATGGTAAAACCCTGTCTCTACTAAAAATACAAAAAATTATCCGGCTGTAGTGGCCAACACATATAATCCCATCCACTTTGGATGCTGAGGCAGGAGAATCTTTTCTACCTGGAAGGCGGAGGTGTCAATGAGTTAAGATCACACTACTGCACTCCAGTTTGGGCAACAGAGCAAGACTATCTCCAAAAACATTAATAATAATAACAACACTATTGATGGTAAAACATGAGTACTGACATTCTGGTAGTTAATGTACTAAGCACATGATATGCATATTTTATTTAATCTACA